GCTAATGCCGATTCAGACGCAGAGGATGCTTTGGGTGGCTGGATAATTGACGGCTGGTGGAATTTTGGGATGAATAGTTTAAGTGAGAGTGGCTGTTCTGGTCGATTCATGAAGAAGTCGGACCAACGAATTCTCCTCTCAAAAATGGTGATGTTATTTAATAAAGTGTCAGTAAAAGGCAATGATGAGGTAGGTCTAAACTTAGAACCGTAACCTAGTACTTGGTTCTCAACTGCAGTGAATGAGTGGTCAGAAAAGTTATGAAATCCAGAGTTGGTAACTAAAATGGCATGGTCAGAAAGTCTAAGGTGCCAAATATAGCGATATCTCAAGTCGGCTAATGTTTTCTGGCTCTTCGGCGGGCATTGGCGTTGCCTTTCCCCCCTGGCTTCGTCTTCCGAGCACCGTTCTTGTTTTTTGATTTCTTAACCTTTTTCACTGGATTCGTCTTTTTCTGTTTCACTTCCAGTTGTTTCACTTGTTTCACTTCCATTTTCACTTGTGTTCTCACTTCTTTCTTGATGAGGCTGCCAATTTCTTCTGTTGAAGGTGGTGCAGTTGACACATCAGTTGGAATAGCGGCAGCTGCACTGGCTTTCTTTTGCTTCTCAGCCAACATAGCTTTTGCTGTACTCCCAGCTAGTCTGGATACGAGTAATGTTCTGAATGCTTCTTTAACTGGCTCGACTGCTGGTCTAGTGTCGGCATTTTTTTGGACAAAGCTTTCAGTAGATCATCAAAGTCAGAGTAGGCAGTATTCACTGTAGCTTCGGCTTTGGCTAGTTTCACATTGCAAGCGTTGATAGCAGTGTTGGTGAAGTGTTTACACTGGATGTTCATAGCTTCTGGGCACAGGTTCTTGTACTTATTCCTAACCCAAGTCGGAAATTCACAGGAAATGAGGCTAATTTTGCAGATTGCTCACCGATAATCTTCTTGGATGTAAAGATACGTCCGACGCACCAGGAGTAGTATTTGGACGTGTCATTGTCGACAAGATTCGGTGGAGCAGAGGTGGCTGATGATGTAGCGGCGAACGAGGTTGCAGTGGCGGTTGGCGACGTCTGCAAGGATCGTCGGCGCTTGGTGCTGGCTGGAGTGCTGAGGGAGGCCATGGTAGCGGTCAGAGTGGTAGGATGTAAGGTCCTCCGACACAGCACACACACACAGCAAGGTCAAGTCTTTATATATATAGTTAGGATCCATTAATCTTACGCGTTTCTGCCTGTAAGGCTTCGTCAGAGACAAGGATGAAATAATATGAATAAAGACTAGTAGTTATATAGGGCTTGATTCTATGTGCCAGATGGGTGCTTGGGCGGTAAATGCGCTATCAGGCAAGTTTAAAGGCGCAATAACTTGAGTTGCAGACAAGTGTAACAAATGTCAAAAAGTTGTACAAGTTGAACTAATGTACTAAACCGTAAGACTGGTGGTCAAAATTTGCGGTCATAGTACCAGAATGTTTGTACAGAGTCAAGATCATGCAGTATCAAAAGAGAGCGGGAAAAAATGAGAAAAATGGGCGGGAAAGTTTAGGTGGGAACCAGAAATTTCTGGTTCCCACCTGTTGTGAAACGACAAGTTCTCGAGAGTGAAAGGCCTTCTCGCTTGTGACATTGTGTTCGTTTCAATGCAGCTGTATCCCGACTCCGCCGTACCGCTGATGTTTACGACGTGGCATACGCTACAGGCGCTATGTGCGGTTTGCTGTGTGCGCTGTAGTTGTATGTTGTATGTGTATGCTTTTCTCATATACGCGGTCATTTTAACGCTATAACTACCTGGTGGTTTTAGTGTTAGTTATTTCAGTTGTTCATTCATTGTTCATTGTTATTAGTCGATGGAAGTGAAATATACTGTGGAGAGTAAATAGTTGTCCCCGTGCCGTGTGGGGTCGTTCGTTCCTGATACTTTAGAGAACCAGAGGGTTCACAACCTTTGGCGACCACGCCAGGATACGAAGCGAGCATGGCACAGGAACTATGGATCATCGAAGCCAGCTTTATCGCCAACGGAATTCGGTATGGATTTGAAGGCGATAGGTTGAGAGAATACGTGGAGAAGAGGCTCCGACAGAGCGAGGAGTTTGAAGAGCGCAGTGTTAGAACGCAAGAGTGTGCGCTTCGCGCAGAGTTTAACGAAAAGCTCAAGAAGATGGCCGAGCGCATCGCCGTCAGTACATATTATGAGGAAGCAAAGCGAGATTTGCTTGCCTCGCCCGGAAGGACGCCGGACAAGGCGTGTAAGACTTTGCTTACAGACAAGCAGCGGTCAGAAGAGTGCTTGAAGCCAGTGGCAGGATCAGATCCAAGGCCAACTGCGTCGGTACAGAGCGTGGCAACATCGGTCGGAGACGCTCAGAAGCAGCTGGAGTCTCGGCTGAACGACGTAGAAGCGCAAGACGAAGAAGCGCAAGACGTAGAAGCGCAAGACGTAGAAGCGCAAGACGTAGAGGCGCAAGACGTAGAGGTGCAAGGCGTAGAGGCGCAAGTCGTAGAGGCGCAAGAGTTGAAGGCGCAAGACTTGGAGGCGCAAGACGTAGAGGCGCAAGAGGCGCAAGAGTTAGAGGCGCAAGAGTTAGAGGCGCAAAAGTTAGAGGCGCAAGAGTTAGAGGCGCAAGAGTTAGAGGCGCAAGAGTTAGAGGCGCAAGAGTTAGAGGCGCAAGAGTTAGAGGCGCAAGAGTTAGAGGCGCAAGACATAAAAGCGCAAGGCGTAGAAGATAAGGAAACGAGAAGGGCGATACTGGTTAGCACGGAAGAAGTAAGCGGCGAGACTGTGTAGAACACAGAGATCCGATGTGTGTCCTCGGATTCCGCGCCCGCCCCGGGTCGAAGCAGTGTACCGGCGACCATGTCGTGTGTGACAGCCCACATCGTCGAGCTTTATGACATTATCGGTGGTGTGTTGTCTGGTCCAGCGTCTGCCCCATGTCGAAGTGGATCGGTGACAGTGTCGTGTGCGACAGTCCACAGCGGCAAGCTTCGCGATGTCGAGTTTTCTGAATTGGTGGGCATTAGTGATATTCTGCCATGGCCACCACCGCAGCAGCAGATGAAGCGTAGTAAGCCCCAAGTCGTTTGACTTGTGAGTTGTTGTACGGCGGTGAGAAGCCCTTTGGTGGGGAGAATGTTGTGAAACGACAAGTTCTCGAGAGTGAAAGGCCTTCTCGCTTGTGACATTGTGTTCGTTTCAATGCAGCTGTATCCCGACTCCGCCGTACCGCTGATATTTACGACGTGGCATACGCTACAGGCGCTATGTGCGATTTGCTGTGTGCGCTGTAGTTGTATGTTGTATGTGTATGCTTTTCTCATATACGCTGTCATTTTAACGCTATAACTACCTGGTGGTTTTAGTGTTAGTTATTTCAGTTGTTCATTCATTGTTCATTGTTATTAGTCGATGGAAGTGAAATATACTGTTGAGAATAAATAGTTGTCCTCGTGCCGTGTAGGGTCGTTCGTTCCTGATACTTTAGAGAACCAGAGGGTTCACAATGTAATGGGTAGCCGAGTGGTAGGCGCAGTGCAATTAACAAGAATTACTTTTATTCTACTTTCGGGTACACACCTGAGATATAATTATTAGTGAAAGAAGAAGCGGCAAAATAACTGACTTTCTCTCCGGTGCACACCTGGAGGTTGAATAGCTCGTTATTATCAAAATCTCATCTTTATCAAAACAGAAATGCGCAGCCGCTTTTATGCAGCAGACGCCGTACGCTTATATACGGAGATACACTAACTATACATCAGGCAAAGCTCCGTATTAGTTCCGTACTACTTCCGTGTTGGTCGGGCAGGGATACTACACCCTCCCTTCCTACAGATAATCACGCCCTCGTGATTTTCAAAAAATTAGTGAAGAGTTATGAACACAGCGTCAACCGGAAGATGGCAAATTATATCGGAAATGATAACGTTTAGAGTACACAGAAGAAATGAACTGATAACAAATCATGAAGTAGAAGCACACCAGGTTCACGCGATCTCACGGGGTCAAAAGGGGAAAGAACTGTCCTCCAAATAGGACCTGAAAAACCACAGCACTCTTGCTGCACCACGCTGGCACAACCCGCCAGGAACATCGCAGGTCAAAAACCGAACTGAATACACTATACTTATAAGGGGCGTTGTCACACACATTGTCCCACGTTAGCTGGGTAAGCCGTGGCTCACCATGATCAGACGCCTACCAAACTAAACTGGATTCACACACTCGCATAAAGGAAGACTGAAAAGAACAGGGGGACTGAAGGAAGAGAGGAAAGAAAATGTCATACCTAGAATCAGCGTTAGCGCTAGCGGCTGGAGCTACGGCGGAGGGCAAGCCAGGTTTTATCTTCATCTTGGTTGAGCCAGTCACTCAGAGCGGCTAGCTCGGCGTCAGACAAATGACCTCCCTCCTCGTCTTGAATCGTGGTCTTCACATTCTATTGTACAAATCACTGACACTGGCAGAGCACAGCGCTGTGCGTTTAGGTGGGAACCAGAAATTTCTGGTTCCCACCTAAACTTTCCCGCCCATTTTTTCCCGCTCTCTTTTGATTCTGCATGATCTTGACTCTGTACAAACATTCTGGTACTATGACCGCATATTTTGACCCCCAGTCTTACGGTTTAGTAAAACTTGTACAACTTTTTTGAAATTTGTTACACTTGTCTGCAACTCAAGTTATTGCGCCTTTAAACTTGCTTGATAGCGCACTTACCGCCCAAGCACCCATCTGGCACATAGAATCAAGCCCTATATAACTACTAGTCTTTATTCATATTATTTCATCCTTGTCTCTGACGAAGCCTTACAGGCAGAAACGCGTAAGATTAATGGATCATAACTATATATAAAGACTTGACCTTGCTGTGTGTGTGTGTGCTGTGTCGGAGGACCTTACATCTTACCATTCCAATTTTGAAGTAATCGTCCGGTTTTAGAAATTAATGCAAGATTGTTACCTTGGGCATAATGGTATGGCCTCTTCCCATTCTTCTCCACAGGCTCCAGCAGCGGGTGGACAGAGGTATCCCTACGCCCAAGTTGGTCCTCGAAAAAAAGTCGTGAAATCTGCAGAATCGGACTCTGCCGTGCTGGGAGCAGAAGACAGCAACAGCCGGGAAGAATTGGCGAGAGTGGTAAGACAAGTTATCAAGAGGCTATCACAATTCTTCATGCCAGTTGTTTTCCGGCCTTGATCCTGTATTATTTTTTTCTTGTGGGCTGTACTTTAGAGCCAGTATTCTTCTTGGCAATTTTCAATAGTGGTTTGTGTCTCTAAGGTTGCACTCACTGAACTTGCACTCAAAGTGCAAAACTGGCACTCTGGAGCAGCTCTGATTACATCCTTGTAATGCAGCACGTTCAAGAGTCCAGACAAGCAGCCGTAATCGAACAAAAGCCACTTCGAATAGATCCAAAAGTCCAAAACCGGTACAGAAAAAAACGAAATAAGCGAACAGAAAACGAAAAAATAGGGTGCTGATACCATGCAGGCGCAGATGCCCACCCATCCGCTTCAGTCAGCCACAAGGATGCCCACCGATCCACTTCAGTCAGCCGCAAAGGCACGAAATGCCTCCAGATCGACTTAGTTTGACAAGGAAAGTCCAATATGCTTGATATCATCTCGTAGTAGCGTCGGAGCGTATGTCTTGATCTTCCCCTCCAGCCCTCCTGACGAGGCTCTGCCAAGTACTTCCCCCTGTCCACATTCATCATAAACCGAGTGTAATAATAATTATTATTCCCGTAGCTATGCAGAAGACGTTACTTCAGTAACGTCTGGCGCTAGCCAGGGTCCACACACCTTTAATTTGGTGTTTGTTTGTTTGTTTGTGTCACGCCTGGCGCTATCCCGTATCTGTCCCGTACCGTATCGCACCATCAAACACAGCTGCTAGCTGGCCATTGGCTGGCTCCCGTATCTGTCCCGTACAGTACCGTGCCATCAAACACAGCTGGCCACAATATGTACATGTATACGACTCCCTGTGTGTTGCAACTGTGGTTGAAGGGGACGGTTGCACTTTTTGTAGCTCCGTTTTATCTGAGTTTTCAGTCGTTCCTCTTACTAGTCTTGCCAAGGGGGTGGCTCTGGGTCCACCAGAGTCGCCCTGGCGTGTTTCTCAATTTGCTGGGGCGAGGGTTCCGCGACGCGGTCGCCAAGGCAGTGTTTTTTCAGTCACGACTGTTGTCGTCCTCGTCTCTCCATTCGCGGTGGTGTAGCTGACCCCCGAATGGTTTCAAACTGCGAAGCTCGGAGGAGTACAGTGGTGGCAGAGGCATGAGCTGTGAGTGGAGACGGTTGCTGGAGATGGATGGTGATGCAGGGAGAAGAGTTACGCTGCCTGGCGACGCGTGGGAAATTGTTTGAACCTGCAATTTCAGTTCGAGCGCGGTGGACTTCTAGACGACGTGTCCTCATGGCTGTTTTTCAACGCTTGGCCTATCGCTGATATCCCTGCGTGGGATGTTCTTCCAGTGGCGTCCAGGGGGGACTTCGGGTGCCCACACTCCATCACCTGGTTGATTGTTTCGGAACTGCAAAAATATATATTGTTTCCTTTTTTGTGCGTATCTCTTGTCATCTCTCTTTTCTATATGTCGCACACCAGATGTACTACTATCGCTGTCTTTCTCTTGCTATCTCTCTCTGCTTGCTTTTTTGTTTGTTTCTGTTGCCACTGTCCCTCATCATACCCATGCTTGGGTGGAGCGCGGCGTGACCCGTTAGGGTAGCTGTCAATACAGTACGACTCCCTGATGTATAGGGAAAGAAATAGGGACACGAGAAGGAAATAAAATAAAGAATGGACGCTAGTTGCCGAATAGGTGATAAGATGCGTCAGTAAAAACATACTTTGGAAGAGAGATCCCGCCATCTCCAAAATAGGCGTGAACGGGCGAGTCAGCGCTGGTCACAGGAAACGTCGGGAGAGAGATCCCGTCGACTCCAGAACGCCCGTGATCGGCAGAGTCAGCGCCGTCCCAGGAAACATATCCATCAGTTACCACAACATGCACGACGAGCTAAGCCACAAAGCATAGCGTAGGGCCCTGAGCTTCCAAGCTCTCTCGTAATATAATGTGATGATGATATTTACATGCTGATGCTGACTGAATGGTTCCCTCATATATTGGATAAGTTTTTGATGCGGCACGAACATCCCGTGAACATAACCTTTCTTTCCTTCAACCTTGCACCCAGACCGCTAATGACGAAGAAGCCAGTGACATCACCGAACATACTCCGCCAGTCCCTTCTAAGGCCTTGCGCAATGCTGTGTCTGGGACCCAGCTGCCGACGGAGGTCTTGGATAGCGCATATGCTGAAGTGGAACCGCTGCACCCATCCCAAATGCACAAGTTACAATCCAAGGTGAGAATACTGTCACAGGCCTGTGCAGTGCACATGAAAGTAGTTTCTTGCATACCAATACACGCCGTGACATGAGGCAATAGGCTGCTTTGCTGCGTCAAAAGTATTCTTTTTGATGATATCTGGGTCTGCGTAATTGTAGTAGTACATGTATGATTCAAATAAATTGGCTTGTATAACATTTGAATATGGGTCTTGTCTACAGTGAGTGCTGTGTTTTACTAGCAGGTAAGGATTCATAGGAAGTGTGAATTTGGAAGTCTGCACAATGTGTTGCCACGATTATCACTTCACCATTACAAAGTGGTTGAGCATCGCCCGCCATAAGCTAGGGGTCTTGGTTCGAGTTCTGGTGGTGGCCATTTTCACCTCAGACTTTAACCGTTTTCAGCTCACTTAAACTATGTGTTGAGTACGAAAAGGTCGACGACATATTATCCAGACATTACAACGAACAACGGGAACTGGTTAGGTCGAACAACATATATTGGAGAGTAGAAGAGACTGAGACAAAGGCGAACGAAACGACGACATTGTGGAAGAGAGAGACAGTGGTAGAGATCAAGGGTGAAAGGCAAGGTAAAGGGCCTGGGTAGCTTTGGCAATTATGGCGCGCAAGTCGTTACGTTACGTTAATGAAACAAAAGGAGACAAAAGGTGAGTACGAGAGTGCATGCATGCCAGCTTGGATAAGGTTGTAGAACGTACGGGGGGAGGTACCTAACATACCTCCCCTGCGCAAAAAGAACCACGACCTCGCCGGAAATAATAAGACGATGAGAAAGAATAGAGAAAAAAATGACTGACGAAGTAGAGAAAAACACACACACACACACACACACACACACACACACACAACGCACGGGTGTCCCAAAAGTGTTATGTTAAACATGCAGTACAGTGATTACGTTCCTATACTCTACATTAGTTCAATAATTCTAAGCTACGCATCACTCAAACTAGTGCTATAGCGCAAACAATGCCAAAAAGCGGGCCAAACACCCCTCCACAAAAAAATTAGCACGAAAAACTACGAGTTCAAAGAAACACAGCGTTCTGTACTGGTACGGCTAACCAGCATATTGTTACACTCTTACGACATTTATATTTTTAATTATTACAACATCTCAAGACTCGGTGGAAACACCGGCCAATGTTAAGAGAGTGGGTGATTGCCAACCACGGCGGTAAATAAAAATTAGGGGAGGGAGAAAGAAAGAGTAGCAAAATGAACAGCAGACATAAATAAAAGAGCGTGGCTCACCATCGGACCCCTGATATTGACGAAGGACACCCGCGCTCACCCAAAATACAAAAATTACGAAATATAATAAACCGAAACTAAATTTGACGACGAAGGACGGATGAAAAGAAAGAGAGAAATAAAGAAAATTGCTGACCTGCATGACTTGGACGAGATGAGATTGACATAGAAGACATGAGGTTGAAATGGCCGAGACGATGCTGGTGACCAGACGAAGATGGATTGACATAGAAGAGACGAGGTTGACATACATGTAGAAGAGATGAGGTTGACATGGACGAGATGAGGTTGACATGGACGAGATGAGGTTGACATGGACGAGACGAGGTTGGTGAAAAGACGAGGATTACCGACGACCTGTATTCTTGTTGGCAATTTTCAATCGTGGTTTGTATCTCTAAGATTGCATTCACTGAACTCGCACTCAATGTGCTAGACTTGCGGTCTGGAGCAGCTCTGATTACATCCCTGTACTCAAGCACGTTCAGGCGAATCCATAAATGCAGCCGTAATAGTGCATATGCCACTTCGAATAGATAAAAAAGTCCAAAACAAGTACAGAAAGAAAAGAAAAGAAAGGAGAGTAAAGAAAACGAAAAAAATGAGGTGCTGATATCATGCGGGCACAGATGCCCACCATCCGCTTCGGTCAGCGACAAGGGCGCGAAATGCCTCCAGATCGACTTGGTTTGACAAGGAAAGCCTAATCTGCGTGGTATCATCTCGTAGTAGCGTCGGAGCGTAAGTCTTGATCGTCCCCTCCAGCCCGCCGAACGAGGCTCTGCGAAGCACGTTCCCCTGTCTACATTCATAATACACCGAGTTCAATAATTATTGTAAAAATGTGATGATGCTATTTACGTGCTACTGCAGACAGTTAATGGTTCCCTCATATATTAGAAAAGTTCTTGATGTGGCACGAACATCCCGTGAACAGAACATTTCTTTCCTTCAACCTTGCATCCAGACCACTAAGGACGAGGATGCCAGTGCCAGCACCGAACATTCTCAGCCAGTCCCTTCTAATGCCGTGCGCAATGCTGTGTCTGGGATCCAACTCAGCTCGGAATCTACTTCCAATAGTCAACCGCCGACGGAGGTCGTGGGAAGCGCATATGCTGAAGTGGATCTGCTGCAACCATCCCAATTGCGCAAGTTTCAAACCAAGGTGAGAACACTGTGGCAGGCTTGTGCAGCGCACACGAAGGTAGTTTCTTCCGTACCAATACTCGCCTAGTAGTATTACTAAAAAAATCACGCTGTTATTGCATGGCTTGTGAAACATTTGAATATGGGTGTTGTCTACAGTGAGTGACGTGTTGCACTAGCAGGCGGGGATTCATAGAAAGTGTGAATTTGAAAGTCTGCACAATGTGTTTCCACAATTATCACTACACCATTACGAAGTGGTTGAGCATCGCCGGCCATAAGCTAGGGGTCTTGGCTCGAGTTCTGGTGGTGGCCATTTTCACATCAGACTTTAACCGTTTTCAGTTATTGGGGAGAGGAAGAGACTGAGACAAAGACGAACGAAACAACGACATTGGGGAAGAGAGAGACAAGAAGTAAAAATATCAATTGTGAACGGCAAGCTAAATGGCCTGGATAGCTATGGCAATTATGGGCGCGCAAATTGCTACCCAGGCCAACGGAAAAAAGGAGACAAAAGGTGAGTGCTAGAGTGCATGCAGGCCAGCTTGGATAAGGTTGTAGAACATACTGGGGAAGGTACCAAACATACCTCCCCTGCGGGAAAAAAACCGCGACCTCGCGAGAAATAGTAAGACAATGAGAAAGAATAGAGAAAAATTAACCAGCAAATAGAGAAAAATACACACACACACACACACACACACCATTGGACCATTGGACGCCCATCGTCGGAGGCGATGATAGCGATGCTACAGCAGAAGCCATAGCAACTTGTGCTGGGATTGCACCATTCAACAGCTTGCAAGGCTGAAAAATTGACCGCCACTATTCAGCCTGGCCTACACCACACAGCTATGAAGTGGCTTTTTCTGGCCATTGAATCCCTACTTCTAGGTCTTTTTTATCTTTTTCCCGCACACACATCACACCACATACTCCGGCATGCACTGGCTGTTGGTAACCACCCAGGAGAATGAAAAAAAGTCAGGAAGAGTCTGAGAAAGAGAAGAAAGACGTGTGTGACCATAATCGTCGGGAATCGAACCCGCAACCTATCGATTGGAAATCGCTGCACATACCACTGCACCATATGGGACACACACACACACACACACACACACACACACACACACACACACACACACACACACACAACGGACGGATGTCACAAAGGTTTTATACATAACATGCACTACAGTTATTACGTTCCTATACTGGTATTAGTTCAATAATTCTATGATACGCATTATTCAAACTAGTGCTATAGCGCAAACATTGCCAAAGGTGGGCCAAACAACCCATTCACAACAAAATTAGCACGAAAAACTACGAGTTCAAAGGAACACTCGGTTCTGTACTGGCACGGCTAACCAGCATAGTTACACCTTTACGACATGAATAAAAGAGCGTGACCCACTATCGGACCCTGATATGGACGAAGGACACCCGCGCGCACACACACACTACAAAAATCACAAAATAAAATAAACCGAAAATAAATTTGACGACGAGGGACGAATGAAAAAGAAAGAGAGAAATAAAGAATATAGCTGACCGGCATGACTTTGACGAGACGAGATTGACATAGAAGACACGAGGTTGAAATATCCGAGACGAGGCTCGTGACGAGACGAGGATAACTGAAGACGAGACGAGGTTGGAGACGACACGAGATTGACATAGACGAGACGAATGGCGGTTGAGGACGACTGGGCATGGGATCTCAGGGTCGTGGGTCGATCATATAGTCGGGCGCCAATGTTGAGTATGACAAGTTCGACGACATACTCTCCCGACATTACAACCGAAAACGGGAACAGGTTAGGTCGAACAACATTTATTGGGGAGACGAAGAGACTGAGACTAATAGTTGTATAACCGCAATCAATAAGACAAGCTGAATCGACATTTGTGTACACTTTATTCATGCAATGTAAAACGCTGGAGACAATGTGAAATAACAAAAATAAAATATTTCACGGTTCGCGTCAGACTCGGCTAAAGGCCGAGTTTTCCGCATCCGTAGGAACCCTTCAAGGAACAAGGCGCAGATGCAGCTCCTAAAGCGGTGGGAGGTGAGTAGATCAGCTCACCAGCAAGTGGTGAAAGACCGAAAATGCCATTCACTGCATCCATGTTTTCCTCGTGCCAGGCCATGAGTTCACAATTAACTGCGGGTCGCGGCACGGCTGGAAATGAAAAAATGAAAATGAAATGAAAATAGTGTAGAGAAAATATGGATTCAAACAAGTTTTCGTACAACACTCATCAAGAATTGTCGTTGTACTAAAGGACACTGAAACAAAATTGAACTATTATAGAATGTACTCAGATGGAGAGCCAAGGTTTAATTTATACAAAAGAGAAAGACAAAGGAACTACAAGTTACGCTATACTGTCCACTAACACCACCAGTTACTAAACAATCAGCTCATGCGATAACATTGCACGACACTGACCGACGGTACTGACGTTCTACAACTAACTGGCTAACAGCTGGCTAACAGCTCACCTTCCCCTCCTTATGTTATTTCTATGAACCTTCCAAGTTGGAAGGCTGTTGGAGTGCGCATCCAAGATGTGCTAGAGCTCTTAGCCAGTTAGTTGTTGAACGTCAGTACCGTCGGTCAGTGTCGTGCAATGTTATCGCATGGGCTGATTGTTTAGTAACTGGTGGTGGTAGTGGACAGTATAGCGTAACTTGTAGTTCCTTGGTCTTTCTCTTTTGTATAAACTATTATAGAAGATCCAATTTAGAGAAATAACACTAAGAACAACAGCAGTGAAATTTACAAGTGTGACTTTTTACCAATGAAAGCGAAGGCAATAACGAATGCGTGTGCTAACAATGAACTTGGAAATGAAAAAAATGAAAGAAAAAGAGAAAGGAAGAAGGAAGGCCAAAGTGATAACACATAACAGACTTATTATTAAACCTAGAACATTAACGGCCAAGTTTGGCCAGGAGGAAAACATGTATGCAGTAAAAGGGATTTTTTGGCTTTGACCACATGCTGGTGAGCTGATCTACTCCCCTCCCACCGCTTTAGGAGCTGCATCTGCGCCTTGATCCTTGAAGGGTGGTGGCGTTCCTACGGATGCGGAAAACTCGGCCTCTATATAGAGAAACCGAGTCTCACGCTAACCGTGAATTGTTTTGGGCCACACCAAACACGACACGTTACTAGAACAATTTCAACCCAATTATACTATCCTTCTGTACACACAGATGAGGCGCTGATAGAGGGCTTCCTAAATTTTTAACTGTAGTCCATAATCATAACGACCACGGCACAATACGACTTGTTTGTACATGACATTGTTGAACGAAAACTCAACTCCAGTTGTGACCAGCAACGACAACCGTCTAAACGCACTTTCAAATATCCAAGGAGTGTCAATGTCATCATTACGGTACAAAACATCCATGCAGATGTCGACAGTTTCTTCAATCTCATGTATTCGTGTATATTGCTTTCCATTCTGACATTTATTCAGGCCTAGATCTTACTAGGCACCATTATGGTGTTCGGCGACTCATGTCCTGGATATTTTCGTTTTTATCTGTCAGTTGTCGCAGCCCAATATTGGCTCTGACAACGTGTACAACACGTTGGGTGAGTGTCTGTCACCGACTGTGGATGAGAACATTGACCTGAACTATGACGTTCTGGATCGATCGAAGATGATGGCGACTTCGCTGTTGACAACTAGCCAAGTTCCAAAGGTGGGTATTGACTATTCCTTGTCAGTTGCATGTATAGAGATTAACAGATGTGGTAAACCGATACAATGGCTATGAATAAAGGTAGGACGGTGTCATATTTATACATTTATCTTTGGTCAATTATTACAAAGGACGATTATTTTCCTATTTTTTTTTCGTTTCTTTCTTTCGTCCTTTTCCTACCTATTGCCGCTTTTTATTCTTCCGATCCATGACACAGAGGACCAGGGGCGTTTATACGTACAGGAAAAATTGCAATGATGTTGTCCTTCATTTACTCTCCACTGATGGATAGATTCAGTCATGTTGTTTTAACTTTATCTCATGCAACGTAGGCAGTATGTGAGTGTGGCTTTGAATGTGTCTGTGAATGAGGTACCAACGTTGTACAAAGGCTATAGAGAATCGCAGCCTGGTAGCTATTGACACAGCGTCAGGCTGTGAATATCGACCATCTTGTTAGGTATCCACCCCTTTCTTGTCCACGTATATTGCTGAAGTATGAATACGCATTATAGTTGGGGAAGCGTTGGAGAATCAAACCAACTGCACGCATATATTATGTATGATAAGGCCGATGTCAAAGAGATCTGAAAAGCTATCGATCATCACTATCCAAGAATCCCCCCCCCTTCTCTCTCTCTCCATGTCTCTCTATCTCTCTTTTTCTCTCTCGGCTACAACCATTTGGTTTTGAATGGGCCGATGAATATGATTGCTTAGCAATTCTAGTATTGCTTCTCCGCATCGTGCACTTCATTCGCACTACGCAAGTTTGATTTGAAATCTGTGTTCATCTGATCCCCCAGGATAAAGAAGAACGTAAGCGCACGTCATATGTCACCATCAGCAATCCTAAGTATGATGTTGCAGCAGATCCCCTACCAGTGAGTATGGACTTGATGATTAGCCTAGTGTTGGTTCTAAATGTTGCAATAGGTTTATATTTCCCTCTTTCGGTCGATCGTTGCTTTTCTCTTCTCTAACTATTGCTAAGCACACACCTTTCCTACTGAAAACATATCAGAGTGTCACTAGCCATCTAGAAGTGCATTATTCTGAATACTGTTTGATCGATGTGTTGCAGAACACGTCGGTCGGAAACTCAGCCGAGCATATCTATGATACCGCCACCGACGATGGCCTGGTTCCGGACAGAAAGCAGGGTTGACGCAACATCGCCTTCGACATGATTTCAAATTACTGCCACCATTAGCAAGTTTCAATGTCTCCCTCCCACGACCCCCCCCCCCCATCACCCTCAATTACTCCCTCACTTTCAAGAATGGCGCCCACCCCGTGCAATCATACAAAATTTATAGAGCAAACAGCCTAATCATTGTTTTGCATAAGTAAGGTGTTTCAGGAGGGGCAAGTCACAGGGATTTGTTCACCCCGTAATCAATATTATTTCTCACACCAAGGATACGAAATAAACTATGTTTGTTGCAGCCACCTTACAGACATTGAATATCGGTCGTATACAAACTTGGCAACATTCACAGTTTTGTAGATTAGTTCACAGCCTTATCCATTTGAAGATTCTTAAATTTTGACAAACTTGCGTCAGGGTGCTGTGTTACAGGATGTTCACAGACGTTTTGCAGTATGTCAAGCAACAGATCAGTTTCCGAATTTGATCGTTACACCTGATAGGTACTTGCCCTGAAGATTTGTTGTAACATCTGTCATTTTATGAAATTGCTCTGTACGCTACTGAAACGCGGATTGCCCTTCTGCTTAGCATATTTGTACTGCATACATTGGCGCTTTGTTCAAACTATTATGCTTTAAAATTCTGAAGGATGCCTCACGAGGCTTCATTACGCACAAAATCACTTGTTGGCAGGCAACTCGCCAGCACTCAATCCAACCAGATATTCCAGCGCATTTTGCTTTCCGTATACGGTCTGTTGTCACATCTTATTAGCGTTCCGTCCCACTCAAATGAGCAATGCGTTATCACACATAAATGCAGTCGTTGTTTGGATGCTTCAATTTAATTTTATTTACATCCGTGTATGCAGTCTATAAACAAGCTTTTCGGCGCCAGCAACTATCGCAAACGACACGAGAAACTGTTCGGTATGCAGTACTTGTTGACGATCTATAACAAAACTGCTTGGGGGAGAGTTAAATGTGAGATATTATTGTAAAAGGAGGCAGTATTCAGCACAGTTTTCCAGTTACAGTGAAACCTATCTAAGAAGACTGCTCAGGGACCTTCAAAACGTGGTCTTCAAAACCAGGTGGTCTCCTTATCCAGGGTCAGTTGACTGGAAATAGTATCTCCTGGTGCTGGCTTCAGTGGTTGTCTAGGACAGGTGGTCGCCTTATGCGAGTGGTCCCCTTGACAGCTTTTACTGTATTTTCATCGGTGTACGTACCTAACTCACAGTGGAATACTCAGTGAACAATTCACAATGGGACAGACAGCAGCGCAAACCTAAAAGAAACACATCTGTAAAAAGGGAAGCACAGCGATAAGCATGACATTAATATTATTTTTAGAATTAGGTTAAAGACTCCACGTGAGCTGTACTTATGTTGTAGGTATAGAGAGAGACGGTGACAGAGATAGAGAGAGAGACAGAAATAGACA